GGATATATAGGTACTTGAATGCTCCATCTTTATCAGTCATGATAAGAGTGAGAATATCTCCTGTTCTCTCCTCTCGCGATCGTTAGGTGTAGAGGAGTTCTTTTTGAAAAAATATGGTCGGTGATTTTTACCCAGTGATCTGCAAATCGTTATCAACCTAATTTACAACTGGTTGACCTGAACCACAAGCACGCCCCTTATCCTGCAGTTGATCGCAGACACTTGAATCATTCTACACTCCACTCAGCTGTTCATGATATCCATCCATCTTCAACTTCTCTCATTCCATTAAACTCAGCAACGCTTTACTATGATACATTTTTCTGGATCTCAAAGAAGAGTTGATAGGTTTCGAAAACCCACGCTGTGCAGATTAGTGTTGCTTTTGGCTACTAGATGTCAGAAAGCATTTTTCAAATGTTCTGTGGGGTTTACTTCGAACACGTACTTCTGCATCATCGACTCCCACTTGTTTTTAACCTTAACATCAACTTTCTGCGAACTTGTTTTCTTCCGTTTTACGTCAGGCCTCCTTGTTTCCTAAGCGTCGTTGAGCCCTTTGAGTAACACCTCTTCTTCACTACTACATCCACAAGGTGTTTGATCGAAAATCTCTACAAATACAGTTTTTGGCTTCTTTTCTCCTTTCAGTAATAGCTGCTTGATCTCCATTGCAGTGTGGTCATGAAGAGGCTTAGCGAGGCAATGCGGCTCCGTAGGACCTATTTTTCTATGGAGTTGGCAAGGGGACATGAATGAATCGTATTGGCGTGGTTTAGTTGTAACAGCAATCGGCTAGATATCTTATATAGAATGAGATCACTTTTTAGTGAATGACAGTTCGAAAAGGAAGTCATTTGCAAGTTTGCATCCACAAACGAACAGTTTTCCCTGATTGTATCCGGCAGGCTACGGTATTAATTATCTTGGAGAAAGGTACATGCCATGTGCATCTGACATCATAACAATATTCTCTTTTCCTTGCAGTAATTCCCAAGACTGACTTCCTATTAAGCTCGACATTGATGAATAAGCTGGTATTTCATGATTAGCACCACTAGGTTGTTGCTACTACACGTTATTTATTCACAACAGCCGACGTTTCGGTGGATTTCGCCATCTTGTGAGCCTGGAAAGGTGAAGTTGACTGCAATCCAGTTAGCCAAACACCTCCATAACCGAAAAAGAATAACCGTGAAGCTAAAATTTCTACCGTACTTGAAACAAACTTCTTTCAGCTTCTTCACAAACTCAGCACACCCCATGAGCGTTCCACAGTATTCCACGTGAAGACCAACGACACAGGTTACATGCCTCTCACATCAAAATACATCCAAATACTCTGTGAGATCACGCGTGATTACGAGGTATTCCTTCCTGTAGTTCATTTCTGGATTCATGGAAACCGTCCAGAATTCTTCGGAAGTTTTACACGCTAAGGTTTCAGATCCCTGAGGATAGCAACTTCAACTTTAACACCATCTACGTTGTTTTCGCGCCCAATTCGCTCCTAGTGGACTATTTAGTTTAACTCCAACTTTACCCACTAGGTGTTCTTTTACATGGATGCAAACTAGTATACTATACTCGTTCCGCCAATGTGTTCGACCTATACCGCTTTACAGATAAACTGTACTTACTTACTTGACACTTGAATACTCACCGTCCTCATTGGTTGTGCTGGCCCCAACATAATCTCCATTTTTCGGAGATTTGCTGGTTAACCCATTGTGGTTCTCTGGAATCCCAAGGTCAACCTGGCCAAAGTGTGCCCCAGACCTTCACCACCACAGGCAGTCGCAGCCCATGTGGATCAGAGATTTGCCACCATGCGACTCTGATACCAGGACGGTGGTGGATCCTGGTATTGGTTTACCCGATCTCATTTAATCATCGTCTCAACCGCTAGGGTATATTCTGCAATTTTGCGTTGTACATAGACGGTCATACAGCTAGTTGCGAACTAGCCGGTGTCCGAGAGTGTTAGGTGGTAATTCAGTCAATCCTACCGATTTCTCTGAACCTGCTCTTTTTATTCAACGTTTTATAGCTATGTTTACTTCGTTGGAAATAAAGGGCAGGATATAGAAAGCCTTATTTTCGCTAGACAAGTCATTTCCGGCATGGTTCTTCCTCTAAACCTACCCGGAGAAGCTATCGTTTCGTAGCTATTGGAAATGGCTATTTCCCGTGCCAGTTTAAGGGATTCTTATTTGTGCTCTTTTCCTGCGCAGGCAGTGATGGCTGTTCATTCTTATTTTTCCGGTTTTAAAGTATTTTCCCGTTCATCTTCCAAATACACCAAATACACTACATACACAATCACTTATCTGGACTGACTGATTGCACGACTTTCCAGCTGAGCAGATACCCAATCAATGGACAATTTTTACTACTTGACCCTACGTCACATGTATCAAACTGTGCGGATCCGAGCACTTCCCGCATTGAATTCATCTCCTTGCACCTACCATCAACGAAGGTCTTTGAACCCTTTTGCACGTGGCGTAGGCTGCTTCCTGCGGATTTTTTCGTCTTCGTCAGGAATGTAGTTCAATGCTTGTCGAGTAGATTCTCCCTAGAATTCCAGGATATCAGTGCTCGAGTGTTCCCACGTGGATTATAGGGAGCGATCTTATCACAGATAACTTTGGGACCAATTTCCCGACACTAGAGGGACGAGTCCGGAGTGGGATGAAGGGCCAGGTAGACTCAGTAGTTCGCATAATGAATGGGATCGCTACCACTGCCCTACCAGTTCAATCCCCAAATAAAACAGTTAAACAAATAGATAACCGTAGACAGTTGCCAGTACAGTTTGGCTTTCCATCTTGTTGTGATCACGTTGCCATGAGGAAGGAGATTAATCGTGCCACTGGCTCAAGCACAACTAAGCTATCGCATAGAAACATCGAGCTTAGCTTCCCAGATCATCCTGTCCGAGTACTAACTTTCACGTTCACGAAGAATTCACCGCTAAAATGAGTTGGTAATTCCATGGGAGACTTCCACGAAGCATGCTGTTAAAATTCTCACTGAATTACAAAAACGGCTATGTCACGACCTCAGCTTCATACTATTGCACTCTGAAGAAAGCACTATGGGGTGGATAGCACAGTGGTAGTGATGTCCGTCATCACAAACATGGTGCTAGTTCGATTCCGCTCCGGGCCAACCTAGCCTCTCATCCTCCCGGGGTCGGGAAATTGGTATCGGACTTGTCTGGGAAAAAAACCGCTCTCTGCAAATCCAATTAGGAACGCTCCAGCCCGGCTATCTCAGGATTAAAGAGAGAATCGACTCGATCAGCATTCTACGACATACAAGATGAAATGGAAATCCTCAGGCAGCAACCGAAGCAACATGTGAACGTTGGAAGGTCTTCGTGGACTACGGATACGAGGAAACAAATCAAATGTGAGGAGTGCTGGGATCCGCACAGTAGGTCAAATGAAATAAAAAAATAAAAAGAAGAAAGCACTTATTAAAAAATATTTCGCAGGAGTCATATATTAGCACAAAATCTTCCTGGTTGAGATGGAGACGAACACCTTGTCGTACATTACTCCTCCCGACGTCTCCTCCTCGACCAGCTCGCTTTTCCAGAAAAATCAATATGCAAGTACACAATGCACACATTCCCATTTACAGCATGGAAAAATTTCTCCAGTGAAACTACATGCGTAGGAATCTCTATAAATTACAGTAAAACAGTAGATCACTTCACTATTTTCTGCTCGAAACTAGTCGACGTAAAAAAAAAGAACTCATAGAAAAGCGATAACATAAAAACAACGGAGTACCTGGTCATAGAATTGGCTTTAAGGCTCAGATTTTGTAAAATTCCATGTTAGGAATACTCAGTGTTGACAAACGAGATCAAATTTTGGTTTCTTTTAGCATTCCATTAAGCGCCTACTAACGGTTTACCGCCTCATCGTGGCTGGTAGACGATCCTGTGTGCCGGGAAGCGATGTATAGCAAAGGGTTTATCTCTCCAATAGGACCTCCCAAGCTGAGAAGGAGTGAGGCGTTTCCATCAGGAAGCCTAGCTAACAATAAGCCAATACCAGGATCCGCCACCGTCCCGGTATAAAAGTCGCATAGTGGCAAATCTCCCTCTGATCCACAAGGGCTGCAACTGCCTGTGGTGGTGAAGACCTGGAGCAGACTTTGGCTAAGCTGAATTCAGGACTCCTGGGAAACACAATGGCTAAACCAGCATATGCAGGGGAATGGAAATTGTGTTGAGACCCGCACGACCAGCATAATCGGGCCATTCCAATTATCCAAGCAAGTACTCTACTAAGTGCAAAAGCATGTAAGACGTGAACTTAGCGTCCTCTTTTTACGACATACTGGACCGTAGCTGAGCTTTTCGCTTCTCCATCGTTGCCTCTGCACTTCCATCCATTTCCTACCTGGTCACCAACACCACACTGAGTTTGGTCACGAATTCCTCCTGTATCCACAGAATTACGTGTCACCCTCATAGTAATCGCGGAATTGTAAACCCTTTATACAATCAGAAGGTCATCACGAACATCTGGATTGCCTCCAGTTGCACTGTGATGTCTTAAACATAATCATTAAAAGCAACATAGTCGGTGAAAGGCCATAGAGTAAGCCTCGGGACACGCGACCTAACCGGTACGGACAACTAGTACATTTCCATGGCTCCTCCCACCATTTGTGACAGTTTCCCGTTAGCAGTAATCCCATACTTTCCACCCAGTTCCGGGACTGTTTTATCGATCGTTTTATCGATGGTTTTATCGATTGTTCCAGTTCTTTCTTGCTTAGTAAACCTCTTTGTGACAGTTTTATTATAGCCATTGATATATTTATGACTTCTTAATCTAAATTCTAATGTGTTTATACTCGTATTTCTTACATGTTGTTTGATTTCCCCTACATCGATTTCTTACCATCTTCCTTTCGTATTTCTGTCATGTGCGAAGTAGTTTTGTTCTAAGGTTTTGACCTCGGTATTCACCCAGATGACCGGTGGACAGTTATCCGATCAGATTTGGTACTGGGGAAATGTCGACAAATATGTGGTGTCTGAGGTAATAGTGTTTCAGCTTTGTTGTGCTCCATTTCTTAGGACAGAGGCTTCTCATTTCTCTATTTCCATAAATATGTTCTAATGGGTTATTAGGTTTTATTTCTTCTTCAACAGATAATGCAGGAGCAGCCAGAAGGCACATTCATGGTTCGCGATGCGTCCTCACCTGGCGACTACACCTTAACCGTAAGGTTAGCGTAAGTTTATCAGTAAACTCCCTTATGGTAGTCCATTATCTTTAACGCTAGAGTTAAAGTAACACAAAGCCATATTCTGTTGCAATTGGTTAGCGTGCCAAGCCAAGTCAGAATCTAGTTGAAACTTATTTTGTATGGCACATATCTTCTTGATGATTTGATATCTTCATAGGTTCAAAGAAGACAAGATACTGTCAGCGTGAGATTTGCAGGATGATACCCTAATAGCTTTAGTTAAAACAGGTCTCCTTCCCATAACTTTTACTTGTTGACTTAATCTTGCGGGTCAAGAATCCTGAAGGTTAGCGAGAAGTAAACGGGATCAATCTAATGCTCGAAAGCATAACTGAGTTGAGAAAACGTCAGACTGAAGATCTAAAGGTCACCAATCTTGAGCCTTAGTTTCCAAGCGGTATGAATCAGTAGAGGGCAAATGTATAGGGTTTCTTTGGTGAGCTTTGTTTCCAACTCAGATTGACTCAAATAAAAGGCTTAGAGCGGTGTGCGAATTCAGTTTCTGGGATGCTGAAGAAATCTTATATCTTAGCGTCTTGGCAGTAATTACTGCACTTTTTTATTTTAAACCTTAACATTCTTCATTCTACTGCTTTAGCGGAAAGTCTGCTATGACAGTTGCTTAACATTTTTATTACTAGGTTTGGTAACAATACAAAATTAGTAAGAATACATGTCTACAAAGGGCGTTGTGGCTTTGCGCTAGAGTCTCTCACTCATGATTCTGTTGTGAGTCTTATCGACTTCTACCGAACACGATCACTCAAGGTAAGTTGCTAAAAATACAACAGAGTATTCCGTTCTAGTTCACACATTTAGTGTTACAATGCTCAACTTGATGTTTGCTTAAAATATCCGCTTCCACGACGAAAGCAATCAATTCGGACAGTTGATCCACAGAACACTCCGTGCGTATCCCCTTCGCTACCAACCTTTAACGCAGGTTTTTAGTTTCTATTTTGGCGTAAGTTTGCCTTTTACACAATAGTTATAATCATTTAATCATTCTTCGGGGAGAGTTCTGTCTTGTGTTTTACTCGTTTCCGTTTCCGATTTAGTGTGGTGTGTTTTAAAAGAAATCCTTTGGAGACACTTATTAGGAAGTTCAGGTTTCACTATTACCGTGGTTCTTCATCTTAATAGATCGCTTTAGATCATTCTGAGGTGATGCACAATGTTTATTTGCTTTCTAGACTGGGATCTTCGACTCGGTCTAGAACGCCTTAGAATATGTCAAACAGAAGTTGACCGTGCTGCTCGTCTGTTTGACGCCGTTCATGAAGAGAAGAAACTAGCTGACCAGCTTCACTATGAGTATACCCAGGCGGTAGGTGCTTCCACATTTTCAAAGTCCATTTCTTACTTATGGCGTACAAATTTCTATTAGTGGTGCTATGTTGCTAGTCGTTCGAATATCTGTTGCGAACTCTTTGTTTCTGTTACGCCTCTATATTTACTTGGAATACCTGGATGGTCCGCCTTTACTGACAGTGCGGACCCCGACATCATTTCCATTTTTTCGGAGTTGTCCTGGTTTATCCATCGTGGTTCCCTGGAGTGCCGAGGTCAGCCAGCCCAAAGTCTGCACCAGATCCGAACCACCACAAGGAGTTGCAACCCTTTTGGATCAGAGAGAGATTTGCCACAAGCGACTAATTTGATTCCGGTTGATCCTGGTATTGGCTTATTCTTGGCTAGGCTTCCTGTCAGAGACTCTGGACTCAGCTTGAGAGGCTTTGCTGGGATGAATCCCCGCTGTATATTGCAGCGCGACACAAGGATCACCTCCCAATGACGATAAGGTGGTAGACCGTCGGGAGTGATAGATGCACCTCTTTAGGGTTATAAAAATGACTTATCCTTCGTGAAATTATAATACGTTGTCGTCACCATATGGCTGACACTTATTCAGATCGTCGATCTAGATCGAAAAGTTAAACAAATTGAGGAGGCCGTGAACACTATTCAAAACTGTGAAGAATTTAACGACGAAAGTGATTTGAAGCGGCTCCAAGCGTTCATAGCTAACTGTAAGGTGTGGTCGGTATATATTATTGTCGCTATACTTCTATTTTCTATGGCATTCGTTCATATTTCAGGTTATGGAATGTAGTATAAAAAAGTTGAAGGAAGAACGCGATCTTGTGGTAGATCGGCGTGCTCGGGTTAGCAAAGCTATAGAGGACCTCAACCTGGCATCATCGCATGCGAAGGTGGATGTCTAGACTGGTTATCATTCATCTCATTCCTCCATTTCTCCATATGGATATTTGATGGAAATAATCAGGTTTCAGTTCAAGTTACGCAGCTCTGTTTAGGGGCGTTTGGTATCATGTCATAACAATCGTAACCAGTGCTATACGGAGCTTTTCAAAAAAGGTGTTCCAAAGGTGAAATTGGTTAGTACTATTGAGCTTTCGACTGGTATGCTGGAGAAGGAGTCAATGAAGGCAAGTGAATTGCTTGCGGACATCCGTCTTGCCTGGGAGCCTGAACAGTATGTTTAGAATTGTTTACTTTTTCTTATTCCCATCACTCTTTGAAAGATGTATGTTTTTGCACTAGGTATCTCGTGAACGACTCATCCAAAGAAGCAGCAGCCGCGTTGATTTTGGGTACCCGAAATCGAGCTTTGGAGAAGACGAAAGGACAAATACCAACTGATGGCATATTTTTGATCCGACCTTCAGCGTCACAAGTAATTTCGCGTCTAGCAATTTTTTTTAATCAATTAATGAAAATGCTTAGTACTTTTTTGCATCATTGTGGCCACTAACGATTTCTTGCAATTATGATATTACTTAGTTCATCGTGGCTGGGAGATGTTCTTCCTCGGTGTTGAGCTGCGATTTACAGCGGAGGATTCATCCTTCAGCAGAGTCTCCCGAGCTGAGAAGGAGTCCGGCTTTTCCATTAGGAACTTTAGCTGAGAGTAAACCAATACCAGAACCACCACCGACCTAATATCAGACTAGTCACAAGGTGGAAAATCTCTCTCTGATCCACAAGGGCGATAACTGCCTATGGTGATGACGGTTTGGGGCAGACTTTGGCTAGGCGGACCTCGGGACTTCAAGGAACCACAGAGGCTAAACCAGCAAAACTGAAAAAATGGGAATTTTGCTGGTGCCCGCACAACCGGTGGGGACGGACCAGCCAAGTGTTTAAGTAATGTATTGATAGAGTTCTTAATTATTCTCTTGAATTACACAGTCGTTTCCATTTTAAGGCAAATAAACTCGCACTAAGTGTACTTCATGGAGGACGTGTCTCGCATTGTCTTATTGAACAGACCTCTCAGGTATGCTTATTGTTACAGTTATTAAGTTGTCCAGAATTGCTCTCCACCACGTAGAATACACTCTAGAGGGATTGAATACGTTGTTTCAGGGATGGGGATTTGAAAACGGAGGTGTCTACTTTGTTACGATTGGTGATTTTGTTCGTTATTATGCGCACACTTCTCTGGAGGAACATAATTCCGAAATTAAAACGAAATTGACTTTGCCAGCGCTTTGAAAACTCGACTGCTTCTTCAATATGTATATATTTTAAATAACTATGCTTATTTGTTGTAGATTTAAGGCAATATTGGCACTTGGAGGTAGTTTAGATGCCTCTCGCAGGCTAACTGAAACTGTATCCATCCTTAGTAAGTGTAAATTGGTACATATGAAGTTTTCATTGCTTTTTTATCTTCGTTTCTTTACTTTTCACCTTACCATGTTACATTGACTAGGTCCGTTATCTTCTTACCTTTTTCTTTTGTAGTCAATGAAATTTGGAGGGGAAGCTTATTTTTGATGACGTCATCGTATATTGTTGGGGAACTCTTCTCGATGATTATACGCTGTATTTTTATGTAAATATTTTTGTGTTTTTAAGATTCTTTGCTTTTAAAAACAAACTGTAAGAAATAGCGGTGATTATGGCTACCTCCTTAGGTTCGTTTCTTTCGTTTCATCCAGCTTTTTTTTCAGGATTTTGCATGGTAAGTGTACGGTTTAAGTAGGTCACTATTGTATCGTATTTTCTTACCTATGTGAACTACTGTGAATTAGTGGAACAAATGTACATTCTCCTTATGCGATCGATTGTTTCTAGAAACTTCCTATGTTTTAGCTTTTTCTTGTTCAGCGTTACCTTGTATGAACTACTGCAGTGTACGTGTTTATATTTATACAGATGTTGTTATTTGGCTAAGCCGAAAAGCAGATAAATTTTCATATTTTTGGATAGATTTTAGTTGCAGGTAGACGGACCATTATTGTCACTATTGGTTTCTTGGTTTAAATTTATCCCGAATTGTACTGCTTGTGCTTATTTCATGTTGCTTCCACTAGTTTTTTTTTCTCTCAATGTCTTCTTTGCTTTAAGGTCTATTTGTGTTTTCTATGTTTGCTTATCTATTGCTAAATAGTTAATTATGAAGATGTTCGTCGCATTGTTCTTACGAATTTCAGATCAATGAAATCAGTATGAGAATGACTGACGTTTGGGATCGTATACGGGCGAAGGTCTTGCGTACGTTTGGAGACCATGGGTTACTTTGTGAGGAGCATAGTGTATCTGGTGATGGGCAGACTAACGTTAACGGTGGAAGTTCAACCTCAAGGTGAAAATTGTCTGTTCGATATTCGGCCGTTCTACATTGTGCTTTTAGTAGTGAGATCTCACACGAATTGTGGTTTTTTTCTGCTTCGATTTGGTTAGTTAATTTAGTCCCAGACGTTTGATGACATATCATGAATTGTCTTTTCTTTCAAAACAAATTTCTGTTGTCCATCGACTATGAAAGTAGGCTTTCTCAGTAATTAACGCAGTTTAACATCAAGTTGGCCTATTTGCCTTGGATAGGTAGAGGTAATGAGTTTGCCAGGAAGTGAAATTTTTGATTTGGTGAACTATTGCAATACTTTTTGTCTTCCGAAACAGATTTAATCTTTGAAAATTGATTGTTCTCTGCTATTGATATGAAGCACGTTTAAAAATATAAGTATCCACTAGAATCCTTCAAATTTAGTGATTAGTTTTGCTTTTTTTCAGGTCACTAAATAGCGACTACACGGAACTGATGGGCGGTAGCGTTCCATGCCCATCATGCAAGGGTACTGGGCGGATTCCTAAAGGTCTGCTCTTCGAGTTTTGACCGCTCTTAGTAGTGTTTCGACCTAAATGGTATGACTAGTTTTTATCATTAAACGTTTCAGAAATGGAGGAAACACTGGTTGCTCTGATTCCACTAAACGATGATCGTTTGAAGCCGAAACGAACTTGGTTTTGGGTTCTGATAGGAATATCGGTTAGGAGATCGGGAATTCATTTTCTTGTTATGGAATAGCTGTGCAGTTTATACTACTCATTTTACGATAATGTTGCTTCTAGATATGTTTCCTTATCGCATCCGGTGTAATTTTCATGCTAGTACCTCGAGCCGTCGACCTACATAGTAACAAACCTGCCATCAATATTATCCACGTGACTGAACATACGATTCTTCCGCCCCGTATCCGGTTTCATTTCATGGTTGGTTTTTGTCATTTATTTTTTACCTTATCCTTTTTTTTATTCGGTGTGCAGCTCTAGCAGTTGTTTAAAAATGAGCTTTTCAGAATTATTTAAACATTTCTAATGCGAACTACTATATTGTACAAGTGGTTAACACATCTGCTACGGTAAGAAACTTCCTGCAAATTCAAAAAATTGACCAGTTGTAGTTCTTCTAGTGGTTCAGATCGTCTCTAAATTCCAACCGTGGTCGAATGAAGAAATAGGCTCTGGATTAAACACGTCAGTGGTTTCTGTGGCACCTCTTAGCACTGACAGAAACTTACTGATGTTCAACAACTCAGTTACGCTGACCGACGTTGTAGCGTAAGTTGAAATGTCTTTACTTGTTGCTTGAGTGTTATATTCATTGAAGAATACATGGAACATAACAACCGTTTTGGTTTCTTTTTTAAATCCTTTTACATACGCAAAGGGGCGCGTGTAACGCAGTGTTCGAAGGACTACACATGGGATCGATCCTTGCGCCATAGGTTCACCAAGCCTTCCGTCCCGCAAGAGTCGGCAAATTGCTACCAGAGTTGTCTGGGAGGATGTCAACCCTAGCTCGATACATCGGTGGACCACCGCGAGTCATTGTAAAGGCCAAATACGCATTTAGTCACCTCTAACGATGCTTAATGAATTCGAATGCATGGCACAGTTAAATGGCAAGTGATTCTAAAGGATTACTATCTTTCCTTTCTTTTCATGCTATGGTCAAAAGAATTTTTCTGCCTTATAGATTGCATATCAAAATTCTAGTAAACCATAGCAGTCTATAATATTTCCTCTGAGGTTTACTGTCATTCACAATGTTTAGGGAACCACTTGTTAATGTTTATTGAAATTCTTTTTATTGAAGTCAACGAAACCGAATAAATGACCATGTGAACAGTCTTTTATTGATTTACATCAGCAAAGTATTGTTTATATTTAGTGAATATTGCCAAGCGCCATTCTCTCGTGTCACTTCGCTCTATGTGAATATGCAGTTCGACATCGTCGTCACTCTTGTCTACTTTAATCATTACGAAAAAGTCTCACTGTTAACAAATCAGCAAGTCTGTTGTGTGCCATCTGGTAATTGCACTTCCACGTGATTTCGTCTTCGTCTTGAAATAGTTTGATAAAATAGCGACCTAGTTGAAGGTCTGTTACCTGCCGTATTACTATAAGGCTTAATCTCTCTATATTGAATGAATATAATAGTTATGATTCTCGTGGTTAATTCACTCGGTGATTTTCAGTCTTAAATGATCCATTTTATGCTGGTAGTACTTCCCAATGTTTCTATATTGCGGCTATTTCTTTCGTTCTAGTTGTGATACTGTTTGTTGATGTGGATTGCTTTACGTAAATATAAAGTGCATATAAAACTGATAACTTTTGTTTCTATTATCGCACATTCGTTCAGTCGTTTATTTATATCATAAATAAGGCTTTGACTTTTTGCTAAATTTATCCTTATGCTTGCAATTTGTGGAGATATGGAAACTCTTATGAGAGAAGGTTCTAATGAAGAGGAAGAAGAAGAAGAAGAAGAAGAGGACATGAAGGATGACCTACCAGTTCAAGATGAAGCTGGTGGTGTACTTTTGTACACAGTGTAAGAGTTTGACGTTTAAACCTATCGAATTATCTGTTTTTCAGCGGAGAATGAATCAAATGAAAATGGAACAGAACTGTGTACTGCTGAGGAACAAGAACCTGAGGCGTATGCTGATGAAGAGTTGCTCAGTATCGCATCAAGTGATCTAGCAATGGCTGATGAAACATGCGAAGGCTCTGACGAAGAAAATTTGGTGAGTTTTCTTGAACCGTATAGGTGTTTCAATTATATGAGGGTCATATAGTTCAAAGTTTTCAGAAAAAAGGAAAGTACTACTATTTGAGGTCAGAAGCTGGTTGTTTGACTGCTGCCAGTGTTTTTTCAATAACGAGAGTATGAGAGCGAAACTTAAAAAAAAGAATAATGATCTCGGGATTGATCAATCCCTTAGGGATGCGCCATGCTTTCGACTTCACTAAGCATCGTTGGAGGTGATTGAATATATATCTGCCCTTTACAATGACTCGTCGTGGCCTACGGATCATACCTATCGAGCCGGTGCTATATCCCTCTCAAACAAATCTAGTACCAATTTCCCCACTACGGAGAGATAGAAGGCTTTGGAACCACGAGCGCGAGGATGGATTCCACGTATATTGCAGGGCGCCTCCGACAACTGCGCTATACGCGCCGATCTAAAAAAACTGGGCCTTAGATTCTTTTTGGAGCGGAACTTAGATTTCTAAAATTTCCTGTGCAACCCAGGCAGCCGTAGGCAACATCGCATTTAGAAACATCGCAGAATTTTGCTGAATAGGATTGCATTTATCCATTCTCTTCTTTATTCGAAATACGATCATCGACGGAAAGGTGACAGGATTGAATTTTATAGGTCTTATGGAATAATAATTTCACTGTAGCAAGGCAAAGAAAACTTGTTTGTTGTCAGGAAATATCTATGGATTCTAATGGTCTTTACTTCAATCGATAATGTTCACTGAAGAGAGCCTGTAGCGCAGTGGTTAGAGGTATTCTGCAATACCAACGTGACCGAAGATTCGATTTAGTGTCTTGGACTTACCATGCCTTCGATCTATTCGGCGTAGGCGTGCTTGTATCACATCTCTATGGGAAGGAAGAGCATTGAAATGGCAAATCAGTAGGCCACGTCAAGTCGTTGTAGAGGCTAGATATACACTCAACCACCCCTGTGGTGCATCATGATGTCGAATGCCTGGCGCACGCATCCCCAGAGGTTGATCAACAGGGAGCGCTCAATTTTTTTTCCTTCAATGTAAACAGTTCGATTTTCGGTTGTTATTTTTTATTTTGAAGGAGGCGCTGACTGAGTATGTTGCTGAGGAAGTGGAACAATTCGATATAGACAACTTCAGGCCGGGTCCAACCAAGGTGAGTTAAGGTTTCTGTGCAATAAATACAGCATCAAGTGATTACTGTTAATGGTCTTGGATATGTTCATATGACATTTGCAGAATATTCGTCCTCCATGGTTTAAGTCTGCTCCGACGGATTGCGATGCAAAAAACTGGGAGATTTTCATGGAAACGCTGGAAGCTTTTGATCACGATACAATCCTAGAAGGAATGTGAGTGCTTATTTGTACACTACAGCCACAATGCATTTCAATGTGTTTGCAGAGACGATTTCATTGTTACCATCGAAACGTTAATGCCTCATTTATCCTCTTGTTTCACTTTGGTCGGGAAAGGTATGCCCTTAAACATTCAACGTTAACTTGATGAAGGTTTTTATGTATAGTAGGAAATTTAGCTGTGGTTTGAGTTTTAAATTGCATTAATTACATACTTGAGCAGGCAAAAGTTTTGTGAGAAGGCACATTTTGCACTTTTGTCCTACAAAAATGGGGTCAAGCATAATATTATTTAACCCTAGTACTAGATTTTGCTGTTTGTTGTATCGAAAATGCGTTTACAGATGGTGCGGTAACGCATGAGGAGGTATCATCAAGGATTATAATTTGGTTGGAAATGTGTCTGAGCAAGGACATACAGGCATTTGAAGAGGTATCGATAGGAATTGCTATTATTCTCTCTCAAAGCAGTACTTTTTTTAACTCCCTGGAAGTCTTTTAGGTGGATAAAATGCATGGCGTTGCTTTTGGCATCATCAAGACTATTGCTGATTCTCCTAATGGCACTGTTATTGGAGAACATCTGATTGTAATTACTTCTTTTCATCGTCATTTTTCGCTCGATATGTAGACAATGGCGCAAAGGGCGCGTATGGCGCAGTGGTTGGAGGCCCCACTGCGGCACACACGTGGAGTCGATCCCAGCGCCCTTGGCCCACCAAGCCTTCCATCCCTCCGGGGTCGGCAAATTGATACCGCACTTGTCTGGGAGGATAGCAGCACTAGCTCGATACATCGCTATGCCAGCGCGAGTAACTTTAAAGGCCGGATATGCTTTCAATCACCTCCAACGATACTTAATGAAGTCGAATGCATGGCGCATCCCTCAGGGATTTTGATCAACGCCGAAAGCTTTATCGTTTTTATTCTTTATGTAGACAATTATTGTATGTGGATTTTTTTGTATTCTTAAGGAGCTTGGTGTAATGGAGCAGTTGTTTTTTGCTTTGGAAGAATCGGATAGCGCATTCTTACGTATGGGTATCCTTCATGCTATCTTTCAATTAGTATGTCTATTTGTATTTGTATTTTTTTGAACATTTTAACTTGTTACTGCCGTTTTGTTGTCTTCTCTTCACAATGGTGTTTATGTTGATTTCCTGACGTCGAACCAAAGTTTGATTTAAGATTTCGTCACCAACGCTTTGGCGTAAATCAAACGCTCATTTGTGTGAAATGAATTCTGAAGACCATCAACGTTCTCTATACTCGAGACTTGTGGCTTTATCACTTGGAGATCGATTTTTCGTTAGCAAGGTTTGTAGATTGTTTCAGCATTCCAAGGAACGATAATGATTCCGTGCCTTTTCTCCAAAATCACTTACGTTTTAGGAATTCCTGAGTTTGGTGACTCTGACTTTGTCCTGGTCGCGTTTCCTCAATTCTTTAACTAAGTTTGAAGCGGTGGCAACTCATCTGTTTTCGATTATTTGCAGTGCTTCCATTCCTGAATTGCCAATAACCTTATTTTCGGAGAGATGGAATAACTTTCTCACAAGGTAATTTATCCTACAAAGACTTCTCTTCGAAATTTTTTCGTAGTTTGATCATCACGCAATGCGATATGGAAGGCCTCTGTATTATTAAAAAGAAGTTATTGCATTAGAAAGACCGGTTTTTAATTAACCTCGCCACCAATCAATAAGTTACTGTGTTCTTATTGAGCTAATAATAGATTATTAAGTGCGTTCGTTAAAGTCTGTAGCTCGGATTTTTGCTGGAACGTTAGTAGTTGAGAAATAAAAGTGATGTCAGGTATCACTGCCTCAGATTTGAAAGCGCACATACGACTTGACTTTGTTTTAGAACGCTGAGTTAGTTGTGTCATCGTTAGGAAACCATTTTCTTTAATATTTTAATTCGTTTTAAGCATAAATGAAGCAGGGAATCGAAAAAACCCTAAATATGTTCATATAGTATCGAAATATTCTAGAAACCACTTTATTATGGCTGGTTAAGGACGTCTCAAGAGTATCTCACACGACGTGATTGCATATTGCTGTTCTTCTACTATCTTATATGATTACACCACCTATCTTCACGTGTTTTGGGGTATATTCTAGCCATATCGGCGTGTTAAGTATATCATATGTGGATGTATTGTACAGTCGAGTGAGATCCTACCTGGAATCTCGGAATTTTTTTGAGTACTAGAATAGTTCTATGCCTTCACTACAAGCAGTCACCAGCGGTTTTATATCGGAGTGAAATTTTGTGCTTTGGGGCTTTCGTTGTTCCAAACATTAACGGTTACTCGATTGAACCACTACTAGAGGACGATTTCACAAGCCAGCTTCCTATGTTTCTGTATGTTATCCTTATTTCGTTAGTGGCTCGACCGCATTGATGGAAAGTTTGCGGTCTACCACAAACGCATTTTACGTAATGAATTATGATTGAAATTTTCCTTCGAAAGGTTTGCTACCGTTCTGAACAATCCACCCATTGACAGCAAACACATCTTCTCACAAACGTTAAACAAAATTTTCGCGGTGAATGGTTGTGGTCAACTTTGTTAGGGCAATAACAGTGAACTCTTTTTACTCAGATCATTAAGTGCTTATATAAAGCTCATTTTCATGAATCGTCACGTTGAGTAGTTCTCACTCTTTCCATCCTATCACGATCTCTTGAGGTGATGTGCTTTATAAGTGATGCAGTCTGCTACCATTATTCTGTAATCCAAAATTTTTTGACAGTAGATGGCAGTAAGCAAACTTTCAATGTTTAAATGCATACGCCATAGTAAGACTAATCCGAATGAACAGTAACCTTTTTAGAAAATCCTAAAACCGATTTTCCATTAACCGTGGTATTCATAAATAATTCGGCCTTCTGATATTACCACAAGAAGCTTCATAATTAATTTGAAGGTTGCT